TGTTTACTTGTAATTCGGTGTTTGAATTTAGAATTGTTTTGCGTAGCATTCGTCCAGAAGAGGCGCCTTTCATGCTTCTTCCATTGACTTATAATGGAGAGGTCACAAATTTGACCTGACTTTAGGTTACCGATGTAAGAATTTCGAGATAAGCATTTGGTACAGTTGCTCTTAAGGCCTGGCTACACTATGCGTTTTCTGCGTGCGTTTTTGCAGGTTTGCGTGTTTTGCGTAATATCGTTCTAGGAAAAAAGTTATAAACAATATAATTTTTACTTTGGTTATATACAAAAGCTAATATAACTCTTATGTAACTAAAATTTAAGGTGAAAAACATCACAAAAACGTAATATCGTTCCTTTTTTAGAACGATATCACGCAAAACACGCAAACACGCAAAAAACGCACGAAGAAAACGCATAGTGTAGCCAGGCCTTTACGGTTGCTCTTATCAATCGCTGGAAGTTTCAAAGCGATCTTTCACTCGGTGTAGCTATGGCAGACATCGAAACTTTTTATGAGGTGAGGTCACTTCACGTGATCTGGCGACCTGACCTTGAGTGACCTCGGTCTGAAATTTACACACGTGCAGAAAAGATGCATGATCAAATTTGCCAGAAATACCAGAAATGCCAGAAATAACTCGCGCCCCAGCAGGGCGCGGGTTAAACTTACCCTGTACCGTGTTTTTCGGGGTGGGTTGGGGTAATCGGTGCATCCTAAACCTCAGTATGGAGTTTTGAATGGGCTCGGAAAGTGGCCGGTTTTGGCCCCTCCCTTTGAAAATGGTTGGATCCGCCCCTGGTCTGGCCCAGGGCTGCGGAGTCGATGGATTTTAGGGTGACTCAGACTCAAACTCCGGCTTCAAAAATCGACTCCGACTCCGACCCCAGCTCCGACTCCGGATGGTTCTAATAAAATCCATATCCTGATATTGAAGTTCATTCAGGTCGGGTCAGGTCAGGTCAGGTCAACCAGTAGGGGTCCTGCCGGGTATTCGTAGTACCTACGTGTCAACCGCCTCTGACAGCTTTGTAACACGTTACGAAAGCACCAAAACTACTTCTTAAATGTTCAAATGGTTGCTAAAATCGAACGCAGCTCCAAAAACTAGCCTAGAAACATGCATAACTTGAAAAAGTGTACCGAGGTCATCATAGGTCAATGACCTGACCTGACCTTCAGGTGACATTGACATCACCCTTATGCATGGGAGCAACATCAAATGACATGTTTGAACGCTTGAAACCACGAAAGGACTGCAAACGTGCGCGGCTAATGCGAGCCGGCATACGCCGAACCGCGATTCTGGTCAAACATGGTCTCGGAAAGTAGGTCAAAGGTCATTTGGGTGAGGGTCATGAAATTTCTAGGGTAGGTGTAAAATTGATCAACGCGAGGGTACTGAAAGTTACGTCGCGATCAGCCGCATTTTACGCGAGTTATTCGTGAAAAAACCTTAGGGGGTTGCATCAACCCATCCCCCTCCCCTGTGCCGGGGAGGGTTAACACTTTTTATGAGCGAATTCACGTAATGAAGAAGAATAAAGGCACAATCTACTACATTAGCCAATAGATGATTTAGGACAGGCACATGGGACTACTTATTTCTTGTCCGACAGAAGCAGGCAACAGTTCCGATTGCATATATGCTATGCATATTGCGGAAGGGGCACATTTCGGCCTCGAAAGATACGAATTCATACGTCATAGTAACATATTTCTGTCGTGGTCAATTTGCGCAAAAATGGAACACCGGGTGATTACCCAGCTATGGTTCTATCCAAATTTTCTGATTCAAAATCGCTCAGGGTTATCGTGCAGTTAAAGGGGCCAGCTCAGCACAATGCGTATGAAATATGGAGATTCTGAAAAGTGGGTGGGGGGCCCGCACACTAGGGGGCCCGCTTTGAAGGCGATGGCCCCCCCCCCCGAAACGTAACCCTGGCTGCGCCACTGCGGATGACCGCCCCCCCCCCCCCTGAGATCTCGAGAACGAAGCAAGATAGCGACAAGCGGTAAACGGCATCGGATACGCACGGTTAAGATCTACAATTTTTACACAGGTCATTTTCAGGTCAGGTCAAAGATGACGTCACAGGGGTCGAAAAAGTCAAAATGGCGGCGCTAGATATGGAGAGTTTTTCTCAAATAACTTTCGAATTAGTCAAGATAGGAACAAACTAAGGGCATCATCGTGAGCCTCTCGTCAATCCGCATCGAATGATATATATATATATATATATATATATATATATATATATATATATATATATATATATATATATATATATATATATATATATATATATGTTGACCTCGAAAGTTCAAGGTCAAAGGTTGACCTCAGGTAACGTGACCTCGAGGTCATCGTGTATATCATTCGATGCGTCTTGACGAGCTGAACACAATGAGACCATCCACGCGACTGTATCTTGTTCCTGTACGGAGTTATTGGCCAAAAACCTTTGGTGACCTTTGATGACGTCACATGACCTTACAGCTGCCCAACAGCAAAACAGACCTCAAGGTAGTGAAGGTTGATCGTATATGAAGTCATGTATAGTATATGGGGCAATTCCGATCCGTTTTAGTGGTAAAAACAGGGAGTTGATTTTCCCCCATTGATTTATAATGGGGAGGTCGCGAAATTGACCTGACCTTAGGTCACCGATATCAAAATTCTGAGATATGCAAATTGTAGCTACTAATGACCGAATAACATCCTGCGACTTTCAAAGGCCTCCGACATCTACTGTAGCTCTGGCACGGTGACAAAGTTGCAAAAAAGTGACTTGAGGCTGGGTCATTCAAAGTGACCTGGTGACCTGACCTTAAAGGGACCCTCCCACCTTCAAAAAAGTTTATGAATTGGCATGAAAGTGATGTCGCTCGGTTCAGAAAGAGCGAAAACGAATATCTACCAAATTTCACCGAAAAATATTCACCGGTTTTCAAGATATTTGACTTTTACTTTTGTTTACTTTTTGGGATCTCCGCTGTTCCTAGCGACTTTATTTGGAAGCAATAGTTTGGCAGCTGAAAGTGCGGCACTTGTTGCGCGCAAAGCAGCATATACCACCGCGTGCTACAAAACGTTTTAGTCAAACATTTAAAAATCGTTAGATATCTGCGCTGACGTCACACATTCAGAGGGGTATTCCTATGCATTAGCCCCTCTGAATCAAAATGCTGCAATTTTGAAGTTCAATATTTCCGATGTAAGTCATTTCTCGATGTTGTGAGTGCCGAAGCCGGTAATTGTGAGCCAGGGACCCCATTTTGGCTATCTCAACTCAAATCTAATGTTAAGGTGGGAGGGTCCCTTTAAAAGGTAGGTGTTTCAAACTTGCACACCATGTGTAAAATTGATCAGGAAATAGTCGTACCAAATTTCGCGGCGCGTAGCGCCGCGGTTTTCCCGCTATTCGCGAAAAACCTCAGGGGGGGCGGATATCCGCCCCCCCCGTCGGTGCGCGTGTTAATATTCTTACGAAGAGTGCCATCCACTTATATCGTTCATCTGTTTGACAGAAGGTCATTAAAATTGATAAACGATCGCAATTTCGAGTACGCGTGCTTTTATTACTGAGCGCATATCGTGCACTACAAAATGACCTCAGGGAAATGAAACACTATCATTCATGATAAGCTCGATGTTAGGATTAACCAATTTAGATATTTGTTGCCCAATGTTGTCAATACACCGTGTCCTATAATTGAAGGGTAATTGATTGCCAATTTGTGAATTTACAAATAATATCTTATTGACAACATAATGATGGAGAAGAGTGGTGCTTGAGGAAAGTGAAACTGTCGCTCGAGATAAATGCTGCTTTTTTTGGGGGGGGATGCATTACGTCCTCTTTGGCATGCATTCTGAATGTAAGAATAGCGACCTCACAGATGACACCGAAGCGCTATTTCATATTCTACGACGTCACTCTATAAAATATCTGACGTTTTACGGCCCTAAACGCAAGATAGCTGGAGAGATTGGTCGTAAAAATATCGGCATTAAACTGATTTGAATGCAAAATGGAGTCTTACGACCAACCATGACATTAATCTCAGTGAGACAAAAGCTAAAACCCCGTTAGTGGAATACCTATTCATGCTTCTATTGTTTAAACATAAATAACCGACCCATCCTCAGCAATATCTCGAGTAAAGCCATGAAAAACTGCAAATATTCCAAAGGCTGTCCCAGGAATTGCGTCACCTTTCGATCAGCGTTTCATGCGGCCGGCATTGTCGCCGTCGGTCGGTAAGCTGCCTTTCGGCGGGCGACTGGAGGTGATATTTCACCTGCCCCGGGCGCCGCTGCGGGCGGCATTTATCTCTGAGAAGGACGTATGGTGCCCGGAGTGCCGTTGAGCCTGATTGAGATGCAGACCGGACCGTGCTGAGATTGCCGACGGCCCGAACCGGCCCTCGGCACCAACTTGACCCGACCCGGCGCGCCGGTCATGCAAACGGAAAGCGGCGGTACCAAAGAATAAACATGCTCGATATGTCATCTTAGCTTTGCATCATTATTTCTGACAACTGCTCAGTGCTCACTCATGGGACGAACAATTATAACATTTCACATTTATCCATTCTATTTGAGATTCGCTTTATTTGTGACTGTCCTTATTTTGTGAAGTGCATGGGCTTCAAAAGAAAACCAGAGTGAATTATGAAAATACAAGTGAAAATACAGAGTGAATTATGTAGGTCTACCGGCTTTCATTCGCCCCATTGCTTGCGAAAGCCGAAATGAGTGCATCTACAGAACAAGCCTCACCTTCTCAGACCACAAGAATACGTTCATTGCAGTTTTCGGCATACTATGGGCACATAAGCAAAATGCCCCAATGTCTAAAAAAACGACTCGACGCGCTTGAATACAGAACACTAGCAACAGCTACGTCGACAATGAAAAGCAGAACAGCGCAACTAATGCAGTCGATGCAACACAACAATTTGAAATCATGTTTCATCACAATTGGACTCACCTGTTTCGGCCACCTCCCTCCTATCTCCGTCCTCGCTCTCGGCCGTTCGGTATCTCTTCCCTCCCCATGGCCGGTGCTCTTCCGACGCCACCGGCCGCGGCGTCTTCCCGTCGGTTCCGACACCGACTCCCCACCGTCGGCGGCGACGTATTACTGACCGTCGACGGCGAGCCCCCGACGGCGGCCTGCCGACGGCGCAGGCCTGATCCGACACCGCGGCCCGGGCCGGCCCGGGCCTAGTTACCGCCCCGGGGACAGTAGCGGCACCGACGCGACCGTACCTCGCGCGCTCGGGCAAATTCGGTGGGTAGGACTGCGCCTGGTATACTATAGTAGTCTGCTGCTTGATACGAGTGTATATAAGTAGGTACGAGTGTATGAGTACGCGGGGATTACTGAGGATTTCATGCTTTTAAGTTTTGACCTGGAATGGCTTGACAGCTTGGTATGACACGGTACGTCTTCCGTTGAAATAAAGCTGGCGATCGCTAAAAGCAGTCGCATGTTTAAGTTTACTTGACTTCTTGGAGTTTCGGGCATGCGATGACCTTTCCTTGCTGAATCTCTTGACATTTCCTGTTATCTCAGTAGCTCAGGAACTTTAAGACTCTAAGTCCGTCTCAAATGTTTTGTTGCAAGACATTGAAGCATTGACTAAGCTTTTATTATGTAAATTTTAATCAAAATGAGTCTTTCGTCGATGTGTACGTGGATTGTCATACCGTTAAACGTTTGGTCGGCAAAGATATTCCATTTAATGTATTATCCAGTACACATATTCTACACTTGGCATCATTAAGATTGCTTTGGAAGCCTGTCTAAGTGCAACGAGTTGTCCAATTTTCCTGAAAGGAGAATATTTTATGGCAGCCTTCTAATATCATGTTCCACAGTTAACAATATTATATATTTTATGTTTACAAACCAGCCTGATTGAGATTAATGAAGACAAGGTGGTTATCGCTGTTCACGCAGAATTTCGGAATAAAAATGATTTTTTTCATTTATTATATAATGAAAACCCAAATACTTATTTACGCCTTTTACAAATAATCCCAGCATTTCCCACTCAGCATAAGCTCCCTGGCCGCCCGAGTACGAGCTGGCGGCGGCCGGTTTCACCGGCGCTGCGATGTCGGACGCTCAGTATCGCGGAGACACAGGCGAACGGCGCCTCATCGACACAGGATCAGCGGCGTGGGACGTGACGGGCAGAGGCGGCGGCCAATGTATCAGCCGCTGAGCCCCCGCCATCGACTCTCCGAATGACATCATCTGGCCGGCACACCCGGCTACTGCTGCTCTGACTGCAGTGTCGCATAGGGAGAGCTGTTTTTGGTGAGAGATGTGTTTTGGTGTTTTTGGGTTTCGGTGGCTGCTTTTATGGGTTGATAGATGGTATTTTTGCGGTTTGTGACAATCGGAATATTTCGCGCCGTTTGACGCTGTCTATTTGGTTTTGATTGCAATGGTTTATGAAAGCGTTTTCCCATCCATTTTTGTACAATGTTCATTGTTGTTCTCTTGGGGAGCATATATTCCGACTAGTGAGTTCCAACTCTGTATATTAGCACCACCAATGTGATTTATTAAGTCCCACACTGCAAACTGCAGTAAATTCGGATCAAAGTTACCCCGTAACTCATAACGTACGGCTCAGTCGCTTTCATCTAGCACATTCCCACAAAACGACTCACACATTACACCGCCTCTGAGGAATTGACGAGCACCGCAAACAGCTTACAGCCTCATCCTGAAGACCGCCGGCCATGTCGTCTCAGCTCCGATCGACTGAGCTCTCACCGAGACCGGTCAGGCATCGCCAGCCAATACTCCGAAGTCAGCCCGCGAACCGTCACCGACCACCAGTCGTAAATGGGGAATCTAATTTGGAGAATGGCTTCCTAAGCAGCGGTGGCCGGGGCGGCGCTCGACTGGGGACCTCTCCGCCTGCGGAGGACCCGAACTTTGCCGCCGCAGTCCGGCGGCGGCCCAATGCCGCGGACGAATAGCTGATGACCTCTCGGCGGAGTCGGCTCCATCCGCAGGCCAAGTTGGCTCGCAATGCTCCATCTCAGTTTGACCGGACCTGCTGAGCTGTGGGTGAGACGCCCGCTCCGGATGCCGGGCTCAATTTGTTCTCTGTCGAAGAGCGCGTGGGGATCCCACGTGGGCGCCGCAGCGCGCGCCTGGATCCCGTGTGGGCGTCACAGCGCACAGCAGCACGTGCAAAAGGTTACAGGGGGGGGGGGGGGCAGACCTGTGCCGTGAGAGGCGTGAGCACTTACATGGGATTGCAGCACATTTTGCTTTGACGGATAGCAACGAAGCTGCATCATTTGTTGGACCTGGACCTGTTTCATTTTCATTCTATCTAAGCACATGTCACCCCATGAAGAAGGCATTGGTTCTGCGCTTTACGAAGGTGGATAACGTGATATAGACCACTGTAGAATATAGATAGATACTATATACTTATATAGTGGTCTATGCGTATGAGGGTTATCAAAATGTTATCAGGACAGTCATCAGACCAAAGTTTGAGAAACTGCAGTTCCAAAGCTTCACAATTCTTATCATACGGTCGGACGACTGCGGACCGTTTTCATTTGATCTCCCTTCCTCGAAAAGCGGTCCGGTCTGGTGTTTGGGGTGGGGGGGGGGGGACACACGCAGAGCGTCTCCAGTCATCCAGTGGATCCCGGCTCGCCCGAGCAGTGGACCGGCAGAGTCCGATTCACGCTCGCCGGCCGGGCCGACGGCGGCGCATTCTGCTGCCAATCAATCAGCCGGCTCGTCACGCAAAACATATCGGCCGGCCGCGCTCATTGGCTAATGGCCGGCCGCGTCTAATGACGTCATCACGGGAGATTACAGGGCTGCGGACTTTGTCTGACGGATGAGGGGGAGATGCGGCCAGTTCTCATGATGGAATGCTACCAGATAACATGTGCCGCACACGCTTCGTTTGCGGTTGGTTTGAGTGATCGAGCTACAACATATCCTCTGACCTCTAGCATGTTCGTGAGTTATCGCGGTGGGCAGTTCCAGCGGAAATATGCATTTAGAGCGGATTCGCAGCTGTTCAAACATGCGAAAATTTTGTTGTAATAGTCTAGTCCATAGTCAATCATTTGAGAAGTGTTTGAAGTCACGGACATTTTGACCTTTCTTGAATTATTGACATTTGTCATTTGTCTGTGTGTGTTTTATCTCAGATGTATTGAGGAGGCACTGCTCAATGCTCATAGATACACATTGCAGCCATGACCTACGTAGCCATTTATTTATATGCATTTCGCAAAAGCAAGTAGGCGCTCTCATCGACATAATTTAGAAGTTATTGGATAAAAAGTTTGAGTATTGTGACCTGTCGAAATAGGAATTCCAGCATAATGGAATTCCAGACGATCACTCACACGCCTACTCATTGAGCTTTACGTAAGGCTCGCTTTTATTGTTAGTCGTTCAGCTTGAGGATGCTCCTATCGTGTAGCATATCTCGCTCTGATCTATACTCTTTCTGAATTCCTGAGTCCCAGTCCCATCTGATTATGTAACCCACGGAGAATGTGATGCGTGCTATCTTTAAAATGTAATGGCCCACGCTGAAATGGAGGGCGCTCTCAGGAGTATATAAATTGGCCACGCACCAGTTCAATCATTCATGAGCATCACGTGGCATGACCTTGCATAATTGACTTGGCGTGTTCATCTGATCGCATTAGGAAGGCTCTCAAGTGGGACTTGGGCTAGATTGAGTAAGATAATGTCGCAGGTAGGATCTTGACTTCGGCGAAATGCTCAGGACGAATCTTTCAATCAATCAAGGCTTTGCTAGAGGTAACTGGTACTCTAGGCACAGATTGAGGGCAAATGTGGAATGCCATTGGTGCGGCATTGTTAGGCCTCTTTAGAAGGCACTGGAAATCCCTGACGTGCCCACATGCATTTACCGTGTTCGGGTCAGAGCGTAACTGCTCATGTGAGCAGCGTTAGCCATATCCCGGCGCTGTGATTGGTCCGAGGCAACTAATCGCGCCCGCTCTATTTGCTCACAGCCGGTGGCAGCCGCGTGATGAAGAGACGGCGGGGCAGCATAGAGGCGGCAGAGGGGGAGGGGAGGCATTTTTATTGAAAATCTGGATAGTAACGATGCAAGAGAGAGAAAGAGCGAGAGAGGGAGAGAGAGAGAGAGAGAGAGAGAGAGAGAGAGAGAGAGAGAGAGAGAGAGAGAGAGAGAGAGAGAGAGAGAGAGAGAGAGAGAGAGAGAGAGAGAGAGAGAGAGAGAGAGAGAGAGAGAGAATTGCATTTGTTGTAATTGAGACTTTTGACGAAGCAAGAACTTATGCAGTTATAACTGCATAAGCACTGCATAGTATAGTATGGTGGAGCATGAGATCCGGGCTGGTAAAACTTAACTTCTGGCAGCCCGACGAACCGTCCAAACTTTAGACAACCATTGATCTATTGTTGAATATACGGCGACTTGAGCCTCACTAAATTCCGAGCATCCCATGTCATCAAGTAGTCCATAGATTGCCTGAGCTGGTGACCGAAATGGAATGGATGATTGGATGGTTAGTAATAAGTATAGGTCTGCACTTCAAATTTTAAGTATATAAACACCATTTCTTGGATTTCAACGGTTGGTACTATTTCCACACAAATAAGCGACGATTAACCCAACAAGTTAAAAACAAGTTTCACTCGTTTTTATTTAGATCCGTGTACGAATAGCCTTACCCCGTTATATCATCATCATTGGTCTATTTTTTAACGTAGTGAAAATACCTCGTCTTTATTCCCTACTGGGACCCAGCGAAAAACCAACGGTCTTGTATTTCCACCGGTGCCATTCATTGCCGTTTCAGCAGCCCATTTATCAGGCCATTTTAATGAGTGCCCGGCTTCTTTCCGCGCATCAATATGCTGCTGGCGGGCGCGTCGCCGACCACCGTTGGGTTTCCGCTGGCACCGTCCGCCCCAGTTTCTCTCGGTATTCCCTCCCAGTTTCTTTCGGTATTCCTTCCCCGGTCCGCGACTCGAGACCTGCATTGAACCATGCCGTCTTGTCGTCTACCACTGTATTCGGAGCACGTTTTTGGGAAGTGTGGGAAAATTTGGGCCAAGCCATTCGCTTGATAGGCTGTGGCATTTTTC